TAGCAACTTCTCCAAGATCGATTCCATTCCATTAGTGAGTTTTAGAGTCCTCAGCTGGGCTGTGAGTCTCAGCAAGACTCGCATCCAACTCTGTCCACACCAACAGTCTGAGTGTTCCCTAGTTCGGCCAAGTCTGTCACAAATTTGATGATAAACCAGGTATCCGCAAGCTCCAAACAGCAGAAATCCTGTTATCATGAATAAATCCAGGGTGAATCCTGCTGGGTGTGTCCCCGCAGGACAAGAGGGCTCTCCTGTGCCCAGACTTCTCATTGAGAAAATTTGATCCATTGCATTGAGAGACCGGTTGACCAGATCCATAATTTGTAGATTTGGAGGATGTGCAAAGAAAGACTCCAAAAATCAAGAAAAAGACAGGACAAAAACAGAGCAAGCAGGGCAGGCATGGACAGGGAGGGAGCAGAGGTAAAAAGCGTCCACCTTCGCCGAGAGCAAGAGAGAAAAATAACTGTATTACCTAACCCCGTCTCCATTGTCAGCACTGATGTCCATCAAGTCAGTCAGAACTCAGTCTCCATGGTAACTACTTGTCGTAAACTCATGTTACACTCTGTTTTGGGAAAAGAATTACATGTCCAGGCCACCTTATGCTTTCTGTGATCTGGTTGGGATGTTTTTGGGTGAATTAACTGGTTTCTTTTTTAACAAGATTCATTCAAATTTTAAAAAATACTTTATTTATCCCAAAAGGAAATTAAATCTTGTCGTAACAAGTTATTTTCGTGATTCTGTGGGCAGGATGGATGTTCATGGCAGTCAAAAAAAAAGTCATAAGCAAACTATGCTAATCCACCTACTTAGCTTTTGCCTTTTTAAGTCTCTGGTTTGCACTGTGCCAAATACAGTGATGTGCTGCTTATGGCCGGTGGTGTTCAGGTAATTATTGTTTACCCTGGTAAGTGTACTGAAATTCAGGAGGACCCCACAAAAGTACCTATATACGAAACAAACTATCACATTGTTTTTGGCTTCCTTTTTGTTTAATAAATTATGCCACTATGGAATCAGTGGGTTATGTTTGTGTGCACTTTGAAGTTTACTTTAAAACGTTAAAGTTCTTGAATTGACTGATGAGTGTGCTTTCTTTTTTTTTTACCGTGACTTATGACTGCTGTCCACCCCCGAAGGCCACAGCTTTGGTCTGTTTCAAACTCACCTTGATATCCTGTAACTAGGCTGCATCCTCGTCCCAGGGAGGAAATAAATGTCATGGACAGGGAGATTGAGTTTTACGCTTGGTGTCTGCCAAGCGGTTTGAGCCACATCATAACAGCTTACTATTTAAAGGTGGGAATGCTCCGAGCCACCCCTCCACTCCCTCATCCTGCCACCTGCTCCTGTTCATCTGCCCTTCAGTGACAGACCAATCGGTCCTCCTTCTCTTCCTGCTTTAGTCCCCTCTGTCTTACCTCCTGTGTCCACTCCTTATACCCCACCTTTGACTCGATCTGGATTTGTTCCCTTCCCTCCTTCCTTGAGGATTTAACTTGACCGTTTGGCTCAGCGGTAACTAACTTTTCACAGCTGGTGGCCTGGTGATGGCGGAGGGCGTGCGTCCTGAGGATTACTGCGACGAGCCAGTGGAAGATGAGTTCGGAGAGATCATCAAGTGTCGGTCTGGTAAGAGATCAAAGCCTCCTGTGTGTGTGTGTGGGTCCAGGAGCGTACTGACCCATATGCTGCTGACTGAGATATCAAAGGCTGCAGTACACTGATGCTGATCGTGCTCCAAGCTAGTGACAGCAAAGAGAGGGGGTCACCCAAAACTTTTTAATTGTTGCATCACCAATATACCAACTGATGCAAAATTTGAGTCTATATAGTTGATTTCAATCTTTATTTTTCTACAAAATACATTTCTGTATGGTTCAAATATAAATAAACTATAAAGTTTACTTGTAGATGACTTTATGCCTGAACAAATAGCTTAACTTGACTGGTGTTAGCTTAAAGCTAAAAACATGTCAGTGCCACTGTCATGCATAAGGTATCATATGACTTCCAATAGGAAATGAGCACACCAATCTGTAGTGACTGTGCATAGTTTCCTTTTGAGGTTATATTTTTTAACTATCATATGAGACAGAACAATTTTATTGTCTGGACGACATGTTTAGTATCTACTCTTGATATGAGAGGACTTGTTGGAGAACCAAAACAGACAGGGAGCAGACAGGTGTCCAACTAAAATAGTTTGACTGACCATCCGACACTGAACAATAAAATCATTAACCATGTAGAGTGCTGTGAAAAACTATTCAACCCTTTACAGATTTCCTCCATTTTTTTTGTTTTTTGTCTTTGATGTTTCTGATCATCAAAGATAAACTGAGTAAATACAAAAAACTGTTTTCAAATGATGTTGTCATTTATTAAGGGGTAGGGGGGGAAACTTCCCAGGTCTAGTCACCGCAAGCCCAGAAATAGTCATTTGACCTCATCTGGCAAATCAAGAATTAGCTTAAATAGAACCTATGAGACAATTTAACGTTCTCAAAATTTCAAAACGGCAGAGGAAAAACAAAGTTGTTAGTATCTACACATTCGGGGAAAGTTACAAAACAACAGAGAGATAGGCCATCCAGAAACTTAGAAAAAGATGGAACAGTGGGAAACTTTAATGGAGTGGAAGGTCAACCAAATTACTCTTTCATCAAGAAAGAGTTGACAACCGCTACTCCAATGTTTATAGTATAAACTGCAGCCGGAGTCAGTGCTTTAAGAAACTTGAAAAACTGTAACACTACTGATTTAGAAAAGTTAGTGTTGTTCATCAAGAGGTCATCAAAGAACCCAGAACAATAGGAGAGGCATTGCAGGCCTCACTTTGCCTTCTAAGGTCAGAATTAATGATTAAAGACAATGGGAGAAAATGACCTTCATTTCAAGGCCAAAAAGGAAAGTTCAAGGCAAAGTTTCAAGGCCAAAATCACTGCAGAACAAAAACAACAAAAAGGCTGTTTTTCATTAATTATCTAAAGACCTTGATGATGAATAAGACAAAAGATTGACTTTTTGGAAGGTGGGTGTCACTTTCCATCTCATTTAACATTTGGTGGTAGTGTGACGTGTGGGACTGGTTTGCTTGATGTGTCGCTGTTATTGGTGGAGCTGGTCATTCTTCTTCCAGTATAAATCCTTGAAGTAGAACGTTTGACCATAAGTTCATGACAGCTCGGGTTACGCAGCAAGACAATGACCCAAAGCACACCTGCAGGTTCACCAACGAATGACTCCAAAAAATCTCAAAAGTTTTGGAACGAACTAGTCAAACTCTGGATTGAAATTGGTGCAATGGCGAGAATCTAAACAGACCATTTGTGCTCAAAACCCGTCAAATGTGACGGAGTTAAAGCAGTCGCTCAAAGAAGATCGGAGAGAAATTCCTCCATAGTGATGTGAAACAGTCATTGCCAGTTTTGGTAAGTGCTTGATGGCAAAACCCATTGGTAGGTTTATGGAGGTAGCCTTATTCTCCAATATCGTCAACTGTTGGAGAACTCGCACGAGGTTGGTAAGGTCAGGAATTATGTTGGGTAAATGAGTCCCGGATCCCTGTCTGCATAAACAACGTCTTTAGCTTCTGTCTGCTTAAATAAAGCCTGATTGACTAAATAAGCCCCTTCCCATGTCCCCGTGACTTGTACACACACTCTCTTGTGTCTGTCTTGCCCACTGTACCCTCTGGTGTAGTTGGTGGGTCATCTCCAGCTGGAAATAGCATTCAGCTGGCCAGGCAGACTGGTGTCAGATCGCCCAGTTTGGAAGCTATCACTCTGTCTTTATCTTTCTATCTTGTGATTTTCTCCCAGTTCTCTATTCTCCTCTAAGTTCATATCTTTGTATCCCCGTCAGGCGATTCTTGTTTATTCTCCTTATTTTCTGTCCCCTCCTCCTGTGTTTCTTTCTTGTGCTGCTCCTTTATCTCAGCGTGATGCATCTTACCACCCATGTTGTTGTCGCTGTGTGACTGGACTTTCTGTCGGGAGCTAAATCCGGCCTTCTATCTTTGTGCCGTAGGCCTCACTGGAGATACTTAACATACTGTCTGGAATACTGTCCTCCATCAGCGTATCAAGAGGTTTCAAGCTGAGAATGTTCAGTATTTCTTTGATATATACCCTCACTTTGATCTTGAAGATGTGTAAAGCCTTCCATGCAGCTAATAAAATGAAAAAAAGTCAATACTAAGTTTTAATATTAATAGAAATATAAATGTGTGTGTGCGCATGCACGCACAAAGTAGGTGTGTATTAGTTTGTCTTGTGAAATTCTAAGGAACTGCCCTCCACCCTCTGATTTAAATCATCCAGCATAGCAACACACATTAAGAAACCACATTTATACATAATTAAAACAACTTTGCATGGAGCTGATAATAGCTGCAGCTATTATTTGGCAAATTGGCTTTCAAGGTCTGTCTCTTCTTCTTTTGTCATTGATTTGTCTGTTTTTTTTTTTTTTTTTCAAACTAAACTCCATCCTAAGGTTTCAGAAAGTTTTTTTCCCCCCACAGAACTAGATTAAAAATGAACAAAGAGAAGCAGGTGGCCAAGAAAACTACAAAACATGTTCAGAAAGACGGAAGAAGTATTGATCCAGAGCTCTTCTGTAATCTAACAGTGCAGTCTGGATTGTTGGAAGCTAAAGGAGATGAAGTAAAATCTGGTTGGACGCTTTTTAAATATTCATAAGAACCACAATGGTTTGTTGTTTAGGTTCATATTGAGCAGGTGCTACAAAGAAAACAAATTGAACAATTAAACAAAATTATTTTATTTGGATTGTAAATGATGGGGCAACGGTCAAGTCTTTGATTGGATTGTTATAACACGATTGTATTCCGTTATTTTATTGTTTGTATTTCATTAAGTTGTCTCAAGGGACTTATCTAGCGTTCTGTTGACCAAAAGTAAAAAGATCTCACTAACCGTAACTAACAGTTATTTTTAATACTTTAATTTTTACAAATTCTTCTAATGGAAGTTTTTTTTTTTTTTATCCTGGTGTTTTTGGACCTCTGGGACAAATTTGGACATAGAAACATTGAATTGAAATATAAATGTGCTCACCCCTCCCGACCCCACTGAGGGACAAGGGTGTTCAGAAAATGGATGGATGGATGGATAAATGTACTCAGTGGAAACACGCCAATTTTGAGAAAAAACTCACCTTTTTCAATAAGTTTTTGCGATAGAAATTAGAAATTAGTGTATTTTGCAAAACTTCAATGGGAACAATTTTTCTGCATCACCCGAGTCATCTGATCCACAACCGGATGTTACTACTGGTGGAAAAAACAACGATGATGACAGGATGTAGTAGGATTATGATGTTTTTTTAATGACGTGATTTTAACAGCATTTCTTATTTAATAGAACACAGCAATTGTTTTTTCTGTGTGTGTTTTTTTTTTTACATTAGCAGAATAGCAACAAATTTTTGTCCACATTTGTTCTGGAAACGCAGCTAGTGAAGCAGCAACATGGACTTAGTTTTTCACAGTTTAGCATGGTTTTTAAAAGAAATAGTATTTTCTTTCCCCTGTAAAATGTGTCAGTTTGAAGCAGCCTTTAGTGGCTTCGGAAGAAACCAGACGCTCAAATTTTAAGTTCAACTAACGGCTTGTGTTTGGATAGAGAAGACAAGGAGAAACATGTGAAACATGAATAAATAAAATGATTAAACTGAAAGCAAAATAATAGGATATTTAGCCTACTGAAAAAGTAAACAACCATTCATCATGTTGAGCTATAAGCCGACAGAGGAACAGATGTACAGTGAACCTTCCTGTGGTGTGAACAGAATGGAGGGCAAAGCTTCAAATGAAACAAAGCTATAAGTAATTTTTCAAGCCTGACTGAGGAACACCCTTCGGGAAATCCAATTTTGAGGTTGGCAGGCTGCATGATGCAGGAACCGGGCTTACAGGAATGAAACTGTAACCAAAAGGCAGTGCTGGGATTAATTGGGAACAGAACACACCGAGCTTTGCATCTAAAATGAATCTGGGCTTACAGGTAAAACAGTTTTTCTGCCAAGGAAATAATTAATGGTCAGCCATCTTAGGTAGAGTTAGAATTCTGCTAAGTTAGCTGGATTACAATGAGTAGGAACAGGATCGCTTACTGTTTCTCTTGGACCATCAAATAAGGTTTTTAATGTTTGCACTTTGGCTGGTATTCTGAGTAAAAACAAAAAACAGGGAACAGTTATGGCTTAGAGCAACAGCCATCACCGTTTTGAGGTGTTATAATTCTGTTTTTAATATTGCAGCAGATAAACTGAGTAGATATTACACTGGAAGACTTTCAACCCACCCGCTCATATCTTATTGTTTTGCTTTTGTTTCCTGTTCAATATTTCAACTCAGCATTTGCTGTTGTTGTTCCATGGCACTGAATCCAAAGGACAACATGTTCTGTGTTGCCTCTAACTTTGATAAAATTACCTTTCAAACCCCGGGGAATCCCAATTCATTGACCCAAAATTAGAATTGATGAGGTTTATTATGATTTAGATCTAATTCTGAAACCATATAGGCCTTAATTTAATACTGGTGAGGTAATTTGTATTCAGGGACTGGCGAGCAGGTTATGAATTGTGCATAAATTTACCCT